GGTTCATCACGCTGCTTTGACTGCTGGTGCCAGTCCTGAAAGATGAAAGAGGTTTGGTTTCCCACAGCAGGGGAAAACATGGCACAAATAATCTCCTCAGCTGATCCAAAGTGGAAGGAGAAGGGCTGGTTAATCCATCATGACTCAGACTGAAGATGGATGTGATTTTATATGAGTACATGTGATTTTAGTAATCAAAATAAGTGGGAAGGGGGATTTCTGACTCCATGAAGGGCTTGCCCATTCACCTGCATGAGTCTGCCACAGCCCAGCTCCATAACCAGAAATTTGGAGGGCATTGATAGGAGAGGAAGACAATTTTTGACACATCCACACCCGGTCTTAAACCAGCAGCTTAATCTGATCCCATGGCACCGTGATCCGTGTGGGATCAGGTGATCCATGGCTCTCTAACCCATTCCTGAGGTCCCCCAGGGATGGAGAGCCACCAGCTCTGGGGACAGTCCACGCCAGTGCTGTGTTACCCTCCCAAGGGAGGAGTTTCTTCCTCACGAGTTTCCTTGGGAGCAACTCCCAGTCCTTACTGAGGGGCATCAAAACTGAGCAAATCCAAGGGCTGGGAATACCATCATGCCTGGCTAATCCACCTGTTTGGAATGAAACAGGGGCTTGTGCTGCCTCAAATTACAGCTTTGGAAGGACCTGAAACAGTAACAGGTGCTTGTGGTGGCTCCCTCAGAGCTGCAAAGGCTTAAATTTTGGGAAGAGAGGTGGGAGAAGGCCACGGAGGTGAGCCCGTGGAGGACAAGGGCACTGTTAATTACAGATAAGAGTGAGGTGGAACTGCCTGGGGAGATGGTCCCTGTGGGAGGAGGGGAGATGCCAGCTGAGGATGGAGGGAGGTGGCACCTGCACGTGGAGAAACTCACCCACGGCCACGCTCGGCCGCGGGTCATCTGCGGGTGCCTCGGCCCCAGGGAGTGTTTTGTTCTGCTTCTGACCCCCTTTCCCCCCTCCAGCTGCCTCCTACACGGACAGCTCTGACGATGAGACCTCCCCCCGGGACAAGCAGCAGAAGAACTCCAAGGGCAGCAGCGATTTCTGCGTCAAGAACATCAAACAGGCGGAGTTCGGGCGCCGGGAGATTGAGATTGCTGAGCAGGGTAAGGGGGGCACCTGCCTCCAGCTCCACCTCGGCCTGGGTCCTTCCTTCCCCCAAAATCCCCCTCAGAGGCTCAGTGTGTTGGTGATTTCTTGGTACCTGCTAGAGGTGGGAAAGCTCTGGTGGGATGTTGTGGGATGGGAGGGGAGTTACAGGGTCATGCCAAGTGGCTCCAACCAAACAACTACTGAAGGGCCGTTCTGCAGTCAGACATATTTCATTAAAATCAGCAGAAAAGATGAAATCCATTCAATAAACTTGAGCCTGATTATCTCCAAAAATCCGTAGCAAAGAGTTTAGGAAGCTGGAGGGACACTGGGGATGTGGGGCAGGGCAGGAAGCCCCAAGTTCTCCTCAGTCTGCAGCAGATTTTCCTCCAGCCTCACCTGGGAACTGGCAGGCAGAAATTAGAACATGTGATGATGCTACATCCCAAACAGTAGGGAAACAATCCAGAGGGATATTTGGATCCTTTTCACTTATCTGGGCTTGCTCACAAGGCTTTGGCTTCTTTGGAAGCCACCCCAGCTGTGCCAGTTCATGGGATTAGCAGACAGAGGGGCAGGAAGTGGGGCTGCTGTTCGTCCTTGTCCTCATCCCTCTTTCCATGGCACTCATGGGCTTGTTTTCCCTTCTCCCTGCAGAGATGCCCGCGCTGATGGCTCTGAGGAAGAGAGCTCAGGGAGAGAAGCCGCTGGCTGGGGCCAAGATCGTGGGCTGCACACACATCACAGCCCAGACAGCTGTAAGGATGGCCCTGAACCCCCACCGGGGCTTTTCCACTGCTCAGTCCCTCAAACAGCACCCAAGGAGTTATAAAATATACCTTGAAGTTTCCTATTTATGTCATCCTTTTTAAATGGTTTAACTGCAAAATTCTTCTCTGTGCAACTTCCTAACAAGCCTGATGCTCCTTGAAACCAGCCTCAGGGGTCCCAGAGGATCACTGGATCCTGGAAGGATTTGAGTTGGAAGGGGCCTCAAAGCCCATCCAGTCCCACCCCCCTGCCATGGGCAAGGACACCTTGCACTGGCCCAGGTTGCTCACAGCCTTGTTCAACCTGGCCTTGAAGCTTCAAACCAACTTCAGAGGCCCCTGAAAATCATTAAATCATGGAATGGTTTGGGTGGGAAGGGACCTCAAAGCCCATCCAGCCCCACCCCTGCCATGGGCAGGGACACCTTCCACCGGCCCAGGTCGCTCCAAGCCCCGTCCAACCCGGCCTTGAAGCTCAAAACCAACCTCAGAGACCCCCCCCAGAAGTTTTCCCCCAAACAGCAGATAAACCCCCCAGCTGTGGGTTGCTCCTTGTGTTGACCTTGCCGGTGTTTTTTGGTTTCCAGGTGCTGATGGAGACCCTGGGAGCGCTGGGTGCCCAGTGCCGATGGGCCGCCTGCAACATCTACTCCACCCTGAACGAAGTGGCTGCTGCCCTGGCTGAGAGTGGTAGGAAACACCTCCCTCCTTGTTCTCCTTGGGTTTTGTGAAGATTTCTTTTGGTTTTGTCTCATTTTTCGCCTCTTAGAGGTGTTTTTTTTTTCCCCTTAGTTATTTTTGATTTAGGATAAACCCATAGGAGGTAACAGCACACGGTCAGTCCCTTCCAGTGCTCTGGAAACCTTGGAATGGTTTTATTCTGGAGGATAAGAGGACATGGGACAAATAATGGTGATGCCCTTAATGGGTTCAGTGGGCTACACGAAGCTGAAAGTTATTTTGTTAAGAGGAACAAAGCTAAATTTCATTTAAATGCTGTAAATTTGAGTCAGAACTTTGGCTAAAAGGGGCAAAAAGAGAGACTTTGAGGGGGAAATGACTCATAAAAAAAGAAGCTGAGCACCTTGGTGCTCACCTGGGAGATTGAGATCATGTTTTACCTGGGTGAAGTCAGGGCTTTTACCTGGGTAAGGTCTGGAATTTTACCTGGGTGAGGTCAGGAGTTTCACCTGGGTAAGATCAGGAGTTTTACCTGGGTAAGATCAGGAGTTTTACCTGGGTAAGATCAGGAGTTTTACCTGGGTAAGATCAGGGGTTTTACCTGGGTGAGATCAGGAGTTTTACCTGGGTAAGTCAGGAGTTTTACCTGGGTAAGATCAGAGGTTTTACCTGGGTAAGATCAGAGGTTTTACCTGGGTAAGGCCAAGGGTTTGACCATGAGACCTGGAAGCCCCCACAGAAGCCAAACCCACCATCTTGCCCGTTACCAGGTCTCGCTCCCTGGAGCTTTGTAATAATTGCTCATAAATCAGAGTATGTTCAAATGAATTATTAATTCATTAAGGAATTAGTGGCTGACATGCCTAGCAGGCTAACTTTCAGGGAAATCTTCATTTTGGAAATAAATACCATGGCTTAGAGCGTGTTGTCCTCTGGTCTGGTGGGTGGAGGGAGAGGAAGAAGTGAGGAAGGCTGAAGGCAGCTCCCAGGGCTGCCCTGGGTGTGGGAATTCAGAGCTTCTCCTGGAAGGGGGGTGTTGAAAGCTCAGCCTGGAGGCAGGGCTGGCAATGTGGGGAGCGGGGCTGATCCCACGGGATCTGCCAAGGCTGTGCTGGCACCTCTCCCTCTCCCTCTCCGTGCCAGGGTTCCCCGTCTTCGCCTGGAAGGGAGAGTCCGAAGATGATTTCTGGTGGTGCATCGACCGCTGTGTCAACGTGGAGGGCTGGCAGCCCAACATGGTGAGTGGGGGGACGGGGCACGCCTCTCTTACCTCCAGAGGGCTTTACAGTGACCCGTGTCCTGTGGGAAATGAACTTTTTGCTGCTCTCCCAGCTGTGGAGTCGGAGAGAAGGTGGGTTAAAGTGGCTTCTGGGTCTTGCCTACCAAGCAGGGTTTTGTTGAACTCCTTCCTAAATTAGCACAGCTGCCTTAAGTGCAGAGTTTTCTGGGTGCTTAGTCTGATTCCAGAGTGTCTTGCTACAGTTTAAACCAAACACATTTAATCCACCCACCGAAAATGGCTCAAAATCAATGTTTTTTGAGAAGAGGTTGCATCCTTTTCACCATTAAGTTCTCACCTTTGGTTGATGGGGATTTTTCTTACTTAAGCCAAGCCTCTGTTCCAGAACAGAACTCGGCTTTTCAGGTGATTTCCACACTTTGAACCTGCTCTCACTGCAGGAACACAAAACCTCAGGTAACCCAACTCCCCTTGGCTGCTTTATCCTGCCCTCGTTTCCAGGCAAGACACAGAACCTGGAACTACGTGAGTGGAATAATTTTCAGCTGTCAGATGTGCTGTTTTCGTGCTGTTCCCCCAAAGCTTTGGAGCCCTGGAGCTTGTGATCTGAATGAGATGGGAAGCAGCGAGAGGTGGAGGATAAGGGCGGATCCGGGTTGGTTTTCTGCCGGTATCGGCTCCTTTGAGGTGGAGTTTTTGTCCCTTCCAGCCAAACCTCTTCATCCCCTCGCTGTCACCTTTGAAAAGAATCAGCACTGTCAAAAAAATCCACCCCCAGGCTCTGAGTGGGAGTCTAGACAGTCTTTGAGGAATCATTTCCCGTCTGAAACGTCGCTCTTTGAACAAGTCCCGGAAAAAAGGCAGGTTTTGCTTTCCCAGGATCTCCTCAGGACCCTTCACGTGCCTTCAGGAATCCTGGAGTGGTTTGGGTGGGAAGGGACCTCAAAGCCCATCCAGTGCCCCCCCTGCCATGGGCAGGGACACCTTCCACTGGCCCAGGTTGCTCCAGCCTGGCCTTGGACACTCCCAGGGATCCAGGGGCAGCCACAGCTCCTCTGGGCAACCTGTGCCAGGGCCTCACTCCCCACAGATTCTGACCTTCAGAGGAGGGTTTTGGAAATCCAGACCTCCAGAGGATGGCTCTGGGAATCACATACCTCCATGGAATGGCTCTGGGATTCCTGAACTTCAGGGCAGGGTTTTGGGAATGCTGACCTTCATGAGGAGGAATCACAGACTTTCACAGTGGGGCTTTGGGAATCCAGACCTTTGGAGCAGGGCTCTGGGAACCCTGATTTTCAGAGTGGGGCTCTCTCTGCACAGGAATGGCTCAAAGAGGAGTTTTTTTTCCTGAAAAATACAGAATCTGCAGCGCTGGGAGGTTGGTTTCCTGATCCAGGACCAGGCTGCCTCCAGGGGATTGCGGTGCCACCTCCCACCACTCCCTCCCGCCATCTCCTTGTGTTTCCCTCGCTCATTTTCTGCAGCAAATTATTTTCAGGCACGTTGCTGAGCTAATCCTGGGCAATTTTAATCCACTTGGTCGGGGCAGGATCAGCCACGTGCTGCGGTTTGGGAAGCTGGGAAGGGAACAGGGGGAGATGAGGTGGTAACGGGGTCTGGGGTGGGATTAAGAGGCAGATGGCTCAGATGGCACCTGGAGACACCAGTTCCTTTCCTGGAAGAGCCAGAGGTTTTCTGCTGGAGAAAACAGGAGATGGAAGGGCTGAGGGAGGGAGAAGGGACAGCCATGGGAATTTGTCTGCTTGGAGAGAGAAGCACTGAGAGAGAAACCCCTACCAAGGCTCCCACCTGGAACCGCTGCTTTTCTGCAGGAGAAATTATCTGCACCTCAAATAAAGGCCTTTCCCCCCCAAAAAAAACCCAAACCTGCCTGGAAGAATGAGAATGAGGGCAAACAGGCTGCATAAAGCTGGGGAAACTGCAGGAATGTGAGGCTCTGCTGCTGGATGGTCGGGGCTGCCACACAAAGGTGACCTTCCCTCAAAAACCAGTTCCCCCATGGATTCAGTTTGGGGTTTTACATCCCCTGCTCTCCCAGGAAAGAGGAAGCTTCCAACTCCCAGAATTCTCTCTCAGAAGAGGATTATGTGCCCTATTAAATGGGGATTAATGAAATGGAGACGTCCTGGGAGCCAGGCTGCTCCATTCCAGGCTGCTGAATTCCCACCTGGGCCGGCCCAGCACAGCTCCCCAGCCCTCTTAACCCTTGCCTGCCTCTGCTTCCCTGGGGATAGAGCATGGAGCTGGGAATTCCCTGGAGACTCAAGAGCTGGATCTGCATGGATGCTCCTGAACATTCTGCATGTGCCTCCCAGACGTTCTGGAGGAGCAGCTGCTGCACATCAGCGGCAGATCCAGCCATCCTGAGAGGAAAAGGGCGAGAGAATACAGAACATTCCCAAGGAACTCTCTGGCCACGGATGGCTCCGTGAAGCCACCACGCTGTGTCGTGACAAAGCTCAGGGATGTCAGATGGGGCTTCTGCCTCGGCTGGGAGTGTTCATTTCATTTCTCCTGGGAAAGCTGCACACCCTCAAGCAGGAGGGTCCTGGCCGGGCTCTACCAGCAGCCAGCGAGTGGAGAGGCCTCTGCCCAGGGCTGGATTTTTGGGCACCCCTGGGCACAGCAGGGAACAGGCAGAGAAGGGCATGATGATGATGATGATAAAGTGAGAAGTCTGATGTTAGTGTAGGGAACATGCAAAGAGGAGGGTGATGGTGGTGCAGTCGGAGTTCTTTGGTGTGGGAGTGGGGAACATGCAAAAAGGGCGATGGTGGTGGTGATGATGATGATGATGTAAGAAGGATGATGATGATGATGACAGTGACTGTGAAGATGAGGAGGAGGAGGACAGTCTCTCTCAGCCAGTCTGGTCAGCACAGGTCCTTGGCACTTCACCCTCCCCCTTTTACATCCTGCTCTTCCTCCTCCACTACCAGTCACATCAGAAAAGCTGATGACTGTCCAGTTCAAAGGTTCTTCCATCTGTGCTTCTGGGAGATGAGAGTGGAGCCTGCACAGCCACTTTCCACATTTCCTCAGTTCTTGTCATCAACACCAGAGTTTGCTGTGTTTGTCTGACCTGTTGCCTTTCCAGGACGTTGCTGATGAAGCAGCATTCCTGCTGGGAATGTTCAACCAGAATATTCCCACCTGACTCACACTGAGGTGCCAGAACACGGAATGATTTATCCCTGGTGCCCTTCTGAGCTCTGGAGGCCTCACTGGGCCCTCAGAGCACTGACTGGGGTTGTTCTCGTTCCAGATCCTGGATGATGGGGGAGATCTCACTCACTGGATCTACAAGAAATATCCCAACATGTTTAAGAAGATCAAGGGGATAGTGGAGGAGAGCGTGACAGGAGTCCACAGGTAACAGGATGGGCTGGGCTGGCAGGAGAATTTGGGACAGAAACACCTCAGGGCTCTGGTGCCAAAGGCCCCCCCACTGGGGGACACCCCAGGTCACCCGAGGGGTGAACCCCCAGCGCGTGGGCTGTGCTGTCCCTGCAGCCTGGGCTTGGCTTTCCACAGGAGCTGGTGGAAATCCCTCATCCATTCCCTCTTGGAGCTGCTGCTCTGAGCTCCAGGCAGGGAGCAGAAGCCCCTCCCGAGCTCTGTGGGGGTGGGAAGGGGCACCAGGTCGTGTTTTCCACCTGGGAGGCGGGAGGAGTGGTTACTCAGCTCGTTTTGGAGATGGAAGAGGAAGGGCTGAGGCTGTTGCACAGGAAGGGGTGGGCTGAGGACAAAGCCAGAAGGGTAGTCCTGACCTAAATCTCTGGGAAGAAGTGAGATTTGGGAAGAGGAACCGATTCTCCAGTTGGGGTGGGGTCCCACAAAGGGAGGCCCTCAGAGATGACTCGGTGGAATCCATCAGTCCCTGGCAGGAGCAGGGGTGGGGTGGGAGAAGTGGCTTTCCCAGGGGAGTTAATCCTATCCCAGGGGCCAGGAAACAGGGAGCTGGGGAGAAGAGCAGCAGCCTCTGCTTTTTGCTCTCTTTTTGCAGGGAGAAAGGTTTGGCTGCAGCTCTTGGAGCTGCCTGGGAGTTTGGCCAGAGGTTCAGGCAGTGCTCGAAACAGGGAAATGAAATATTGAAACAGGGAAGTGGATTCAGGTCTGCAGCCAGTGGGGTCAGGAAAGGGACTGATGGTATTTTTAGTATCTGGAATCATTCCCAATATGGGCAAAGGAGCTTTCCAAGCATGTTCTTATTCCCAAGTACTGGAGCAGGGACATTTTCAGATTCTCTTTGAAGCCCCAGTGACGTGTCTGGTTTCATTTTTAGTGGTTTTGCTGCTGCTGGGGGTCGAGTCTGTGCTTGGAATTAGGAGGACAGGTTGATGTTGGAGAGCTGGGGGGGTTCACCTGGAGAAGAAGAGGCTCCAGGGAGACCTGAGAGCCCCTGGCAGGGCCTAAAGGGGCTCCAGGAGAGCTGGAGAGGGACTGGGGACAAGGGATGGAGGGACAGGACACAGGGAATGGCTTCCCAGTGCCAGAGGGCAGGGATAGATGGGAGATTGGGAAGGAATTGCTGGCTGGGAGGGTGGGGAGGAGCTGGACTGGATTTCCCAGAGAAGCTGTGGCTGCCCCTGGATCCCTGGAAGTGTCCAAGGCCAGGTTTGATCAACCTGGGCCAGTGGAAGGTGTCCTTTTCCACGGCAGGGAGTGGAATGTGATGTTCTTTAAGTCCCCTTCCACCCAGACCCCACAGCAGAGAGCAGGGAAATGTTCTCCCACTGAGGACCTGTTTTCCCACATCCACCCAGGCTGTACCAGCTGTCCAAGGCGGGAAAGCTCTGTGTCCCAGCCATGAATGTCAACGACTCTGTCACCAAGCAGAAGTTTGACAACCTGTACTGCTGCAGGGAGTCCATCCTGGACGGGTACGTAGCGGACACCCCCCAGATCCCACGGGGAATGGCACCCACGGCTCTACCCTGCTCCAGCTCCCATCATTTCAGCTCAGCTGATGTGTGAGAGCAGAGCAAAGACCCTTCATTACCTGTGCTGCACTTCAGAGTTCCTCACAGGCTCCCTCCTGTCCCCCTGGCCTTTGAGGATGGGGATAAAAGCTGTCTGTGTCCATGGTGGGTGTGAGTGGAACAGCAGCTCCCTCCCAACCTTCTTTGCCTTTCTCCTTTCCCTTCTTTTATCCTCAGGGATCTTTTTTTTTTGTTTGTTTTCCTCCCTCCTTCTCTTTATTTCCTTTATTTTGCTGGAAATGGGTGTCTGTGTCCTCGCCTCTCCCACCACCAAATTTTGTCGGGGCCAGGTGAGGTCAGGGCAGGTTTTGTTCCTGCAGTTCAGCTGTGACACATTCCATGAACAATCCATAAAGCTGTGACGTGGGGCAGCGTTTTCCGAGGCACTGGAAGCAATAATGGGGAAAATGAGGGGGGTAAAACATGGGAACAGGTTGGCCAGAGAAGCTGTGGCTGCCCCTGGATCCCTGGGAGTGTCCAAGGCCAGGCTGGAGCAACCTGGGCCGGTGGAAGGTGTCCCTGCCCGTGGCAGGGGGTGGCACTGGGTGGGCTTTCAGGCCCCTTCCCACCCAACCCATCCTGGGATTCCATGGCAACCCCTTGAGGGGCAAGTTGGGATTTGGGTTAAGGCTGGTCCAGGCATCTAAAACTGGGTCAAGGGAGACGTGAGCAGAGGTGCAATTAAATCTGCTGTGGGTTTTATCCAAATTCTCTCAGAAAAGTGAGGGAATTTCACCTTCCCTGCACTGCTAACCTATTTACTCCTGTGCTAAAAATAGCCTGGAATGTAGGACACTCTTAGGGAGAAAGCAGAAGGAAAGGGAGTGGAAGGGGGAGCTTTATTTGTGGGAAGCACTGGGATTCTGGCAGGGAGTTACCCCTTCCCTGCTGCCCCTCTGCTTCTCTTGGGGGGGGATATTTGGACTTGCACAAACGAAGAAAAAAGTGGTTTTGCCGAAGGTTTTTGGTATTTCCTGAGTGGCAAAGCAAAGGGTCAGCTAAAATAACAAGCGCCAGAAAAAAAGGGCTCCCAACCCAACCTCTGTCCCGTTTGTTGTGTTTCAGTGCAGCCCCCCCACCCTTACAAAAGCCACAAGTCAGTGTTGAGGTGGTTTGGGGGTCTTGTCTGCCCCCCAAATTCCCAGGGGCTCGAGCCCCAGCCGCGGTGTCCGGGAGGGGCAGCGGCTGATCCCGGGATCAGCTCGTTAGTGCTGGTTTTAATTGCGCCTTTTTCTGCCCCCTCAGCCTTAAGAGGACGACGGACATGATGTTTGGAGGGAAGCAGGTGGTGGTCTGTGGCTATGGGGAGGTAAGGGGGCCGTGTTTTCCAGGGGAATCCTGCATGGACATGAGGTTTGGAGGGAAGCAGGTGGTGGTCTGTGTGTCTGAATATTGGCATGCCCAGGGATTAATTTAGCACATCATCTTTCGTATTATATATTACATTTAATATAATATTACAGCATTCAGAGGCTCTGCACAGCGTTGCACATTGATGTGTGGTCAAGGAAGAGAAATTCATTTATATCTTATACAAACATATGTCAAATTTATATCAATTTGAGTATAAACACACATAAATTTATATATAAAGGTATATCGATTTGTATACGAGGGAAAAAAAGATGCATGAAAGTTATACAAATGCGGATATAAATGTATAAACATATAAATATATTAAATGTGTATGGATTTTTATACAAATACATATCGAATTCATATAAATTTGAGTATAAGCACACATTAATTCACACAAATTTGAGTATAAACACACATTAATTTATATAAATTTGTACATAAAGATATATTGATTTATATGCAATTGTATATAAATGTATGTAAAATTATTTTTATATAAATATATAAATATTTTTATATAAATATATAAATCTATAATATATATATGGATTTTTATATAAATATATGTTAAATTTATATAAATGTGCATATAAATATATTCAATTTATATAAATGTGTATATAAGTATATTACATTTATATAAATGTTTATATAAGTATATTACATTTATTTAAATTTGTATAGAAATGTTACATTTATAAAAATGTGTACATAATATGTTTATTTGTGCTCAAATACATCCCATTTATATGAATTTGCATATAAACATCCATATAATTTGTAGAAATATGAATCTTATATTCACTCATACCCCTGTGCCTGCACCCCCAAACTTCCTCTCTCCTCCTGGGATTATTCCCCCTTTCCGGGCTGCCCTCAGGACCAGTTCACACCAGTGCCCTGGGCTGTGCTGTGGGTGCCTTTTCTGGAATCCAACCACTGAATTGGCTCCGTTTTCTCCCCCATAATCCCATTTTTGGGACCCTCAGGCCGTTTAACGTGGATTCCCCGCCTTGGGTGTGGCTGTGCAAAGGTCAAAGCTCGTTAACCCTCCCAGCTTAATGACCATCAATGTCCCCGAGTGGGGCAAAGGTCACAGGGGACTCCCAAACTCTGCCTGGCCCTCTGGGCTCTGCTTTGGTGTGTTCTGGAGACCGGGATGTTCGGGGGAAATCAACTCCCCGGGAACAAAACCAGCGGCACGTGGCGACCTCGGAGTGCCCCTGCTCGAAGCTGGGCCTGAGCCACGGCTCAGATGACCCCAAATCCAGGAATTCCCTGCCCCAAAAATCGAGTATCTGCCACCAGGAGGGTTCCCGAGTGCTCCAGGAGGGCAGAGGAGCCTCCCAGAATTGTCCATCCCCGGGAATCCTCCCCCAGCCCTGCCGGCTCTGGGGGTGTCCCCAGCTCGGGGCACTCCCTGCTGCTCCACTTTCTCCCTGTTTTCCCAGGTTGGGAAGGGCTGCTGTGCTGCTCTGAAGGCCATGGGCTCCATAGTGTACGTGACAGAGATCGACCCCATCTGTGCCCTGCAGGCCTGGTAAGGGTTCCCAACCCCCCAGGGGATCATTTGTCCTGAATCAGCTGGGCAGAGAGCCCTTCCCAAAGGGGAGCTGGGGAGGTGTCCAGGGGTTCTCTGCACCCTGCAGGGACCCACAGCTCCGTCCCAAGGGCAGGGGAGGGTTCCTGGCTAAAGCATCCCCTGGTTTATCCACGTCCCAACCGCACAGCCCAGAGCTCGGTGGCACGGATCGATGTCGGGAACGAGCTGTGCCCTTTGGAATGCCAACACGGGACCCCCAGTGCCGTGCACACACCTCACCAGGGGGTGGTTTGTTTGGTTCTGTGATCCCCCACCCCTCACAAACCCCTCACTGACACCAGGACCCCGCACAGGGCGGGGCACCCGCTGAGCTCCAGGAACAGGCTGGTCTGGAGCCCCCACACCCCAAGGTGTGGGATGGGACACCACTGGGAAAGCAGAGTCCTGAAAACACCCAGAGCCTCATTAAACCCTCAGCCTTTCCCTGACCACGGGCTCGCTGTGGGGAGAGAACTAACGAGCTCTGCTTAATTAGCAGAGCTGATGAACTTCAGGTTCCTCTGAGACCTTCAGGAGTGGCACATCCAGCACCCCCACCCTTAGCTGGGAATTCGGTTGTTTCCAGTGTGTGGCCCCTCTAGGAAGGAGTCTGCAGTGGGGAAGAAAAGCCTCAGTAAATGGGACATGCAGCAAAAAAAAAAAAAAAAAAAAAGGCTTTTTTTTTATAGTAACTCTGATTTTGCAGCTTGTGAGAGTCTCAAAAATGAGCTCTCGGGAGGACTGTCAACAAATCCCCAAAAAACATCCTGCCCCTGTTATCCAAACACACCTTGCTGCTGGAGGCAGGGAAGACTCAGCACCTCTGAAGGTTCTGCAGGTGCCTAAATATGGATTTCAGGGTTCAGGAGAGACATCTGCAGGGTTGGGGTGTTTTTTAGGATGATCTAAATCCGCCTCGACGCGGATTCTGCAGCTCCTGGATGTGCTTTGCAGGAGGAGCAGCTTTTAAAAAAACCCGTCTGGGTTGAGAACTGAGGTTTGCAGACGAGAAGACCTCAGCAGAAAACACGAAAGCCCAAAAAATGTCTTTTCACTTCTCCCCACAAGAGTCCCAAATCCTTCAGAAACTCCCAAAACGGCTCGGGGTCCGTGGCCCTTTGGGTGCCGCCGTCCCGTTTTCCAGTCTGGTGTTACAGAAAGCTATAATTAGTGTCTGAAAATCACTTTTTTTTTTTTTCCCCCCTATTTTTGGCATGTTTTTGCTGCTTCTGATGCCCTTCTCCCCCCTCTCTCCTCCCAGCATGGACGGGTTCCGGCTGGTGAAGCTCAACGAGGTCATCAGACAGGTCGACATCGTCATCACCTGCACAGGTACGGGGGATCCGCCCCCAAAACCACCTGCACCCCTTCCCAGAGGGCAGGGCACTAGGATGGGGGCAGGGAAGGTGGGTGCTGACCCCGGATTTCGGTGTCTGGCAGGGAACAAGAACGTGGTGACCAGGGAGCACCTGGATCGGATGAAGAACAGCTGCATCGTCTGCAACATGGGGCACTCCAACACCGAGATCGACGTGGTGGGTGTGGGGTCACCCCTCTGGGGGGGTGACTGTGCTTTGAGGTTTGGTGGGTTGGGGGGATGGTGTTTTGGGGACCCATCCACAGCTCTGACTGTCCTGAGCTGAGGAAGCCCCTCCCTGGGAGGAGGTGAAATACCCCATCCCCGTGTCTCAGCAGGCACTGGCAGACGTGCCAGTGTCATTCCAGCGATCCCAAGGGATCCCAAGTGCCCACCAGCCTCACTCCTTCCCCGTGGGAGTCACTGAATCCCCTGTCCAGCCCAGTTTTGTGTTATTACACCAGTTAGACCCAGCCAGGAGTTCAACCCCACCGTGCTCTTCCAAACAGCCCCAAAATCTGCTCATCTGTGCTTGGGGATGGGGCAGAAAAGCAGGAGAGCCCTTCCTGGAGGTCAGTGGGGTGTTCCTCAGCCAAACCTGTGGGTTTAGAGCCACCTCTGGGCTGGAAAGGAGCAACCACAGCCATGCAGAGCCCGGCTGGGGACCACGAATCCTCTTCAGCCAGAGCTGCACCGACACTTGGTGCTGCAGCTTTGATGTGTTGAGATCATAAAAACGGTCTCAGGTTATGATTCCTGAACATTTCATTGTTCTGGGACCACGATTGGGCCCGAAGGAGACAGAGAACCAGGACAGTGTCAGGGAGCTGCTGCCTCCTTTCATCCCTGTGCTGTGGGGTGGGGTGGGAGGTGCTGCTGTAACCATCCCAACCCCGTTTCCAGGCCAGCCTGCGCACACCAGAGCTCACCTGGGAGAGGGTGAGGTCCCAGGTGGACCATGTCATCTGGCCAGATGGGAAGAGGATAGTCCTGTTGGCAGAGGTGAGTGCCAGGGGAGGGGCAGCAGCTGCAGCCTCTTCTCTGGGGGAATTTCTGCCTGTTCTCTGCTCCTGGAGGAGGAAAACAGGAGCTGGGAGTGTCTAAAACCCACCTCCTTGGGCCTCAGCAGCTGAGGGGTCCCTCTGGCTGGAAGGTTTGGCCCATGGAATCCTGGAATGAGAGGATGATTTGGGTTGGAAAAGCTTCTGGCTTCATGAAGTCCAACCATCCCCCGGCACTGCCAAGGCCACCGCTGACCATGTCCCCAAGTGCCACATCCACAGGGCCTTGAAATCCCCCCAGGGATGGGCACTCCCCCCTGCCCTGGGCAGCTGTGCCAGGGCTGGACAGCCCTTTCCAGGAAGGAATTCCCCCAATATCCAACCTGCCCCTCCCCTGGCACAGCTTGAGGCCGTTTCCCCTTGTCCTGTCCCTGTTCCCTGGGAGCAGAGCCCGACCCCCCCCGGCTCCCCCCTCCTGGCAGGGACTTGCAGAGCCAGAAGGTCCCCCCTGAGTTCCTGGGACATGGAAAATCCCCCATGCTTTAATTTATCCCACTCCAGGGTTTCTCCCTTATTGAGTGCAGCCAGCACCTGGGGGTCCAAGTGCAGGTGACAAACTGTTTCCCCCCAGTGGGGACACCTCACGCCAGTGGTTCTGGTACCTTCTGCAGGGCCATGGAGCGGGTTTGGTGCCTCGTTAACACCCAGTTTCTCCTCCCCAGGGCCGCCTGCTGAACCTGAGCTGCTCCACCGTCCCCACCTTCGTCCTGTCCATCACGGCCACCACGCAGGTGAGCGGGTGGGGGGTGCCCAGAGCCCGTCCTGCCCCGGGGGCAGCAGATCCTCACCCGGGTGTCTCCTCCGCAGGCCCTGGCTCTGATAGAGCTGTACAACGCTCCCGAGGGCCGCTACAAGCAGGACGTGTATTTGCTGCCTAAAAAAATGGGTAACCCCCCCCTGCTCCCTGCCTTCTCCCTGGGGGTCTGGGGAGGGGACAGACGGGAATTTCCACTGGGCTGGGGACAGTTGCTTGTTCAACTCCCTGCCAAGCTCGGGGGCTTCCAGTAGGTTCTTCCCGCTGGTTTTGGGGATTGTTGCTGTTTGCTGGTCCTGCCTGGGGAAAAGAGGTGGACACATCCCAGTGCAGGGGCTTGTCCCAGTGCAGGGGCTTGTCCCAGTGCAGGGGCTTTTCCCAGTGCAGGGGGTTGTCCCATGGGGCTCCTGCCAGCGGAGTGTGGTCACCAACCAGAAGCCCCAGCAGCAGAACCCCCTCCCGAGGACACGGCTGCGCTTTGGCTGCAGAAATGGGCTCTGTGGTGGGAGCTGTGTTTTTTCTGAGGCTGAGGGGAGGTGTCACCCACCAGAGGTGTCTGGTGGGCTCTGCACCGCCCCTGGGGGATTCGTGGCTGTCCCCCTGGCCACACTAACGGGCTCTGGGGTGGTTCCAGACGAGTACGTGGCCAGCCTGCACCTGCCGACGTTCGACGCGCACCTGACGGAGCTGACGGACGAGCAAGCCAAGTACCTGGGGCTGAACAAGAACGGACCTTTCAAACCAAACTACTACAGGTGCTGCCCCTCAGGCGTGGGCTCTGATCCCTCCTGTCCCCACGGGCCCTCGGCAGGGGCCCTTGGCCGGGCAGGAGCCCTTTGTGGTGGCCGCAGCTGTCACCAGACGTGGCAGATGCCACAGCGATGCCACCGGCTCGGCGACAGCTTTATTTTTAACGCTGGGCTGAGGATGAGCTGGCACAGAGCAGCTTTGGCCCCGGGGCTGCTCCGATGGGCTCAGCTCCCAAAAATAATAATAATAATTTTCCACACGAGCCCCTGGGTCGCTTCCCTTCCCAGATTTCTGTTGGAAGCCAACGCTGCCGTGAATTCCCACCGTGGAAATGAAATGGCTTTGCACAAACACAGATCAGCTCCTCAGGGGCTCAAGCCCAGATCCTTTTCCTGCGGGAAAAGGCGTTTTCTTGGTGGGCAGCTCTTTGGAGAGAAGATCTCCAGAACCAGAGCACTCCCAGTTTGGGGCTGAGTGGGTTTTGCCAATCCTGAGCTTTATTCCCTGCTCCCATTATGTGCAAAATTCTGCTGCTTCCCCATGGCCCTGGAAGGAATTCCCTCTGGTTTGATTCTCTTCCCTCTGGTTTGATTCTCTTCCCTCTGGTTTGATTCTCTGCCTGGTTTTGGTGTGTGGTGTAGCCCAGCCTTGCGGGGAGTGTGGTTTGTCCCAGACACAGAGGTTCAGGATCAGGGGTGGGTCCCAGCACTGAGGGAGAGCCACGACCCCTCAAACATCCCTCAAACATCCCGCCATGGGGTGGGAATGCCCTCAGAGGCACCGAGGACCAAACCCCTTCTCCACCAGTTCCTCCCTGGGCCTTTCCCCCTCCCAAAACCCATCGTGTTGATGCCAGAGGAGCTTCCCTTCCCTTCCCATCCACTCACCACCCCCCCTTTTCTCTCCTTCTGCCCAGATACTGAGTATTCCTGCTGCTGGATCCCCGGGAACGGCGGGGAACGAGCACCCAAGTCTGTTCTCAACTACTGTACAGGATGACCCCGCGCAAGCTTCCCACGCTCGAGCCGGGCTTGCTCCGTAGTCACCGTGTGTTTTAGGTTATTTATTTATTAAATTAGGATACCGTTCATGCGGCCTCTGCCACTGGTGTTCGTGCTGCCGCGGGACTGGGACGCGCTGGATTTCTTTCCCGTTTCTTTCATTCTTCTCTTTGGATTCGTTCTCTCTCGGGGCTGGGAGGATGAGGAAGGAGCTGGTGGGATCGAGCCCGGAATGGCCCGTTATCGCTGCTGGAGCCACAGAAGTCGCACGTTGGTTCCCCCCACGTCCCAGCGCCTCTTCCAGCGGCGCAGGATCCCGGGATGGGTTTGCGTTTCTCCCGCTGTTGGATGATGAAGCCAAAACACCTCGTTCGCTCCGGGCTCTGGCGAGGCCGGAGCCGCCCCCGGGGATCCCTCTGGAGAAGCCTCTCGTCGTGCTGTGGAACTTTCCGAGGGCTGGTGCCCCCAGCCCTTTGGGGAACGTCGCCTTAGCGCTGCTGGAAGCTGTGGGGAAGGGTCGGGGCAGGGAGAGCCCCGGGCGGGGCCGGCCGGGCGGGCAGAGCCAGCGCCGCTCCCTCAGCCCCCGCAGCTCCACAGCCATTCCTGCTGCTCTCGCCCCCAGTGCCAACCTCTCTGGATCAACCAAAGCTGTGTTCCCGGGGGGGCTCCCCCTGTGCTGCTGGAGGAGCTCCCCTGGCAGATGCTGCTCACGCACCGGGAGCTCTTCCCGAGCCGGGCAGAGCTCCCCGGACACCCCGGCTGGGGGGACCCCTGTCCACGCCGGGGCTTTCTCCAGCTGCATTTCCCCCCTCGCTGGAAGTGTTTGGGGTTTTCTTTTCTGGGTTGATTATTTCATTCCTTTATTTATGAATCTGGGAGCCCCCCCCCGGAGTGGCTGAGACGTCTGGTGGAGGATCCTCCACACGCAGATTCAGCGTCACTAAAACCCTTCAGTTGCCTCAGATCTTGAAGCGTCAGAGCTGAGGGGGAATGAATTGGCCATAGTTCCTTGTTTTATCCCAGGATGTCCCTCTGGAGCGCTGACACGCTTCCCAAGGTGACTTCCCAAGTCACTTTCATTATCCACGTGGAGAACATGATCCTTCTAAAATAAAACTGCCCGACCCCCTGAGCACAAAACCCTTTATCCTCTGGTTGCTGCTTTGGTTCCCGAGTCTCTCATCAGCTACAGAGTCATGTTTTGTCCTTATGGGCTTCTTTGCCATCATGAAAAACCCTTTTGTGGCAGCTCATTCACGCACAAGGAAGGAAAAACCGTGGAATTACGGTCTCGGCATCCAAGGCCTTCTCGTGGCTCCCAGGGGGTCTGAACTCTGCTTGGTCACGAGCTTTGGAGCAAATGTCCCAAGTTTGTCTCTGAAATCCCTCAAAACCTGGAAGGAAAACCTGGGGAAGAAGGACCCTTAGGAGGCCTTGGGAAGATGTTTAAGGCTTTGAGAAGGCTCTGAGGAGACCTCGAGGAGCTTCATCACAGACTGACCTCTAACCATGGACTTGAAGTAATCTCTGCCCACAAGTTTTATCCAGAGCCTGAGATTTTTTGGGAAGAGTCCCCCTGAGCCCCTGGAAATGTCCCGGATCCGCCTTGGTCTGTGCCAGCCCCGGGTTCCCGAAGCGGCCGTGCCTGGAATCTGCTCCCAGCACGGGTGACAGGGGCTTGTGGGGCCACATGGGAGCAGCTCCTGGAAGGACAGGTGTCCCAACCACCCCAGGAAAACCCCTCTCCACCCTCAGGACCCCCCGGAGCAGCTCCCTCCACTGCTCCCACCCCGTGTCCATCGCTTGTGCCGCAGCCAGGGGTGCTGCTCGTCCACGGATCCCCCCGAGCCCGGCTCGTCTGCCAGGTAGATAAGAGGGGAAAAAAAAAAAATATCAGTAATAAAATCCCACCTGACCTTTCCCACCTCGATTCCCCAGACTCTTCTCCGTGTTCTGCTTCTCCTGTAAAGCTTCTTGGCTCGCTTGGCTTTTTCCTAATCAACCTGGAATCATATCCTGTGATCATCTCTAAATTAAATGTTAATGGGGTTTGGTTTCTTTTATCCTTTTTTTTTTTTTTTTTTAAATGTAACGCCTTTTTTTTGTTCCAAGACTTTAGGAAAAAAAGGAGATTTTAGGTAACACCAGCAAAATCATATAAAGGAAATTTAATTCTGTCCTGAACTTTTAGGAATAACAAAGCAAAACCCGTCATCAGCAGGGAGGGAACGGAACCGTCGCACCCGTAACATTTCAAAAGGATGTTTTAAATATTAATGTCTGAGTGATTGTATTAGATCAGCAATAAAGACTCTGTAATCTCAAAACACAAATAAATCATGGGAAAACTCAGCTGCTCCCGGGGCGTCCTTCGGGGCCGGTGGGAGCACACGGAGGGGGTTGTTTGGGGGTAAGAGGTGGGATTCGGGATTGTTCCCAAAGCCCTGAGCTCCCAGTGCTGCTGGATAATCCCGGCTGGGGAAGCTCCACCCGTCCTTGGGGCAGCCGGAGCTGTTTTGGCTCCGCTGCGCTGTGTCCTTGGGGAAGCGGGGCCGGAAAAGTCGCGTTATCTCCCCCGGCCCGTCCCCTCCCCGCTGCTCAGGGACATTCCCACACGCGCACACTCGGGGCTTCCCGTTTTCCAGGGGCCGTGGGAGGACACAGGACACAAATGGCAGCAAGAAGGGGTGTCCAGCACCTCCCCAGCGACCCCAAAAACACCTGACCGCCCGTGTTGGGTGTGGAAGAGGAAAGGGGGTGGGGGGGAGTCCCTCCGTCCCACCCCTGTTCCAGCCCCCAGAGGCTGCTCCCAGCACCCCCAAGGACACCCCAGACCTCCCTCCCCCGCATCCCACGCTCCCAGCATCCCAGGGACTCCCACAGTCCCCTCCTCCCAGCATTCCATGCTCTCAGTACCCCAAGGACCCCATAACCCCCCTCCCCAGCATCCCAGGACCCCCGGGACACCCCATATCCCCATCCCCAAC